GGTGTAAGCGTGATCGATTTCGCAATTTGCTTTGGTTTGTACCCTTTTCCGATTTCGATCATCGCCGATCATTTATTTTATGTGTACAGACACGCATAAATCGCATTTAGAGTTTATAACTATTAGGCGACCATTTTTAGACTGAATCAAAGCTGACGGAGGAGCTGCTACAAGCCATGAACGTGGCCGTCATGTTCAGCGACTTCGCTTTTGTGCCATTTCTCCGTCAAGGAGCGTTTCTTTTGAGCTCTTTGATCGACAAAGTTCTGTTTTTGCTGTGAGCGTTTGTATTGGCTGATTTTGGTTGCGGATATTTTTTTGGTGCTATTTTTTGGTTGCTCAGCGCAATACTGTGAGCAAACCTACAAGTTATCGTGTTTCTGTTACTTTTTTTTGTTAGTTGCATTTTTAGGCTGGCAACAATTTGGTTTCTACAAGACGTGCGCGAGCTGATTCTAACCAGCGTCGATGCTTTCCTGCTGCTTCTCAGTCAAGAAACGTTCGGTTCGAGGCCGTTAATCAAAACGCTCACAGTTCTCGTGTGAGTGTTGTATTGACCGGATTTCTTGCGACATAGTCCTGATGTGGTACACTAGAGCGCTTATAGTTTCGGTGTCGGCGTCATATGCGTCGATTTTGTTTGTAATAAATTGCTAAATTCAAGCTACTACATTTTTAGGCCGGCAGAGATTCAACTTTTGGTAGTCGTGCACGAGCTGGATATGGTCAGCGTCGGGGTTTCCGTGCTAATTCTCGGACAAGAATCGTCCGCTTCGAGGCTGTACATCAAAACGCTCGGAGTTCTGATGTGGGTCTTCTATTTAATTAGGTTCCGTTGTGAATTCGCTTTGGAGCTGTGCACCAAAGTTATAGCTTCGTTGTTGGTGCGTATTAGTTTATCTTGCCCGTCTGAAATAAAATGCTCAAGTTAAGGGTATTGAGCATGTGCTCTTCGACAATATTGCATTAAACGTTAGAGCAAGTTTCAAATACAGTATTGCTGTTATCATATGCTCATTGAATACACATC